TGGAACAGAATTGAGAATGCAGAAATGGACCCAGCTATCTATGGCCAACTGATATTCAACAAAGAAATAAAACCTATTAAATGGGGAAATGACAACCTCTTCAACAAATGGTGCTGGCAAAACTGGACTGCTACATGTAAAAAGCTGAAAGAGGATCCACATCTCACATTATACGCAAAAATCAATTCAAGGTGGATCAGAGACCTGGGAGTAAAGCCCAAACCATAAAATTCATCAGAAACAAACTGGGATCAAGCACAGATGGCCTAGTCTATGGTATAAAGAGACTGTCAAATACAGGCAGAAATGTACTATCTGGAGAGGATAAAATTGATGAATGGGCATCTAAAGATTATCCCTGTGTGCATCAAAAACTTTTTTAGCAAAGTGGGGAAAAAAAAGGCCTACTGACTGAAAAAACATTTGGCAATACCAGTTCAGACAATGGTCTCATATAAAAAGTTTACAGAACTTACAAGGTCTGCACAAGAAAAAGACTAATACAATTACAAAATGGGGAAAAGATATGGAAAGACTTTTCACAGAGGAAGATATTCAGATGGCCAACAAACACATGAAGAAATGCACAAAGTCACTAGCAGTAAGAGATGAAAATCTAAACCATAATGAGATGCCATCTCACTCTAGTAACAGTGGTAAAGTTTAATAGGACAAGTAATAAATGTTGGAGAGGATGTGGCAAGATTGGAACTTTAATACATTGTTCGTGGGATTGTAAAACGGTACAACCACTCTGGAAGGTAGTTTGACATTTCCTCAGAAAGCTAAACATAGACATTCCATATGACCCGTGGGATTGTAAAATGGTACAACCACTCTGGAAGGTAGTTTGACATTTCCTCAGAAAGCTAAACATAGAAATTCCATATGACCCAGCTATTTCACTGTTTGGCATATACCCCGAGAAAATGAGTTCTGAGGCACAAGTAGAGATTTGTACACTAACATTCATAGCTGCATTATTCACCATCACAAGAACATGGAAACAGCCCAGATGTCCAACCACAATTTGAATGGATTGAGAAATCATGCTACATTCAAACGATGGAATACTACACAGCATGCAGGAGCAATTTTTGTACATCACTACTTAACTTTGGAGGGACTAGAGCGCTGTATGCTTAGTGAACTAAGTCAGTCCTATAAGGACAAATACTGTTTAAGACCATTATTGTAGAGTGTGTATGAAGATGCAGGGGGCTGAGGGTGGTTTTTTTAACCGTCACACAATTTGATGGGTAGAGGGCGGGGTCAATAAAGGATATGGGAAAGATCTGTGTGTAAAGCAGTGTATACAAATTTTCTAAGTAAACCAGTATAAAAGAAAAAAAATTATTTAAATTAGAAAAAGAAAAATAGGCCATCTCCTGTAGACATGTACAGTTTTGGAAAGCCAGTGGTTGGCTGCTAGGAGTTGGAATGGCCTAGATAGCAGTGAATGGGTCACGTAGCAAAGGAAATAGTGGCTGATTCTTTAATTCTAAATACAGTGGAATATTTTGAAATTAGAAGATGTACACATGGATCATAACTTGTTATATGTGGATCATAACAAGTTAAAGTTTACATTGAGAAGACTGGGAATCCCAGAGCACTTAACTGTGCTCTTGCAAAACCTGTACCTAGTCTGAGTCTGTTGTGTGAACAAAGCAAGGGAATACTACATGATTTAAACTTGAGAAAAGAGTCCCTCAGGGATGTATTCTCTCTCTCCACACCTATTGAGTCTGTATGCTGAGCAAATTATTTGAGAAGCTGGACTCTATGAAGAATGTGGCATCTGGATCAGGGAGACCTGATCATGCAAATGACACAACCTTGCTTGCTTAAAGTGAGGGAATTTGAAGCACTTGTTGCAGAAGATCAAAGAATAAAACCTTCAATATGGATTGCATCTCAGTGTCAAGAAAACAGATTCTAACCACTGGACCAATAGGCAACATCATGACAGATGGAGAAAAGATTGAAATTGTCATCAGCTTCATCTTATTTGGATCCACAATTAACACCCTTGGTATCAGTAGTCAGGAAATCGGGATATGTATTGCACTGGGAACGACTGCAGTTAGGGAACTCTAAATTATTGAGGAGTGATGATGTCAGTTTGAGGACTGAGGTGCATCTGATTCAGGCCGTGATCTTTCCAGTCACTTGCTATGCATCTGAGAGCTGGACAATGAATAAGGATGACAGTAGAAGAATTGATGTCTTTGAGCTGTGATGTTGAAGAATGCTGAACATCGACTTCCAAGAGAACAAATAGGTCTTGGAGAGGGTGCAGCCAGAGTGCTCTTTGGAGGCAAAGATGATGCGGCTTCACCTCACAAACTTCAGGCATGTTACTAGAATGGGCTATTCCTTGGAGAGGGACATGTGCTCAGAAGGGTAGAGGGTTGACAAAGGAGAGGAAGACCCTCAATCAGGTAGAATGACATGGTGATTGCCACAGTGGGTTCAAAGGTGTTAGGAAGTGTAAGAATGGCACAGGGTAAGCAGAGTTCAGATCTGTTCTTTATACGGTCGCTATGGGTTGTACTTGACTTGATGGCACCTAACAATAATAATAATATATCATGAGGTTCTGCAGAGAATGGAATGATTTTCTTGGCCTTTCTCTAGACTACCAAGTATTTTAAAGTAAGACAATACCTTGTTTCTAAAGTGACATTTTAATTTTTTCCTTTTAAGAAAAGAACAAGTGTATTATGTAACCATATAGCAATAATGGAAGTCAAGAAGGTTAACACTGAGACAAATATTATTAGGTGATCTAAGTATCTGATTCATGTTTTGTCAGTTCTAATTACATCCTTTATTGGTTTGAATCTCTTCAATAGTTTGGGCTCTTTGGCCTTCTTAGTTTGGGATCCCTGGCTATGCATTTCATAACCTTCTCAGTTCAGGTGTACAGATGAGTTATTTTGTAAAATACCCTATAATTTGGCCTTGTCTGGGGTTTTTCCATATTTAAAGTCAGTTTATACATTTGACAGAAATTGGCAAGTAGTGACATTCTGTTCTCTGTGCATCTTATCAGGAGGTATTTAACACTTCTATTTTTTTCCCTAATTATAAAATAACTCTCTGTCCCCCTTAGGGAGCTCTGGTGGCCTAGTGGTATGTATGCAGTCGCACTGCCAATTCAAAGGCACACGGTTCTAAACCACCAGTTGCTCCCTGGGAGAAAGATAGGCAGTATCCTTTTGTGCAGTTTATAGCCTGTGAAAATCTGGTGACGGGTCAGTGGTGAGTCTATTCCATCTTGACAGTCATGCCCCCCTTTGTAATTTATAAATATTTGTGAGGTCAACTTTTCAATGTCCAAATATTGTTAGCCCTCATATTTACATCCTACTCATTTTAACCTCCATTGATGTCCTTCCTGAGTTACCAAATGCGATGCTTGCCAATTCGTGATTTTCTAATTCCAACATTTCTCTTTCATTAATTAGTTGAGATTTTCTTTTAAGGAGAGAAAACATTCTGTTATTTACTTATATCAGTTAGGGATTCTTATTCATTAGTATCACTCATGAATTCTTATTTTAGTCATGGTTTTAGATGAATTTTACTTGTATCCATACCTTGGAATGTTGTGAACAAATGAGTGATTGTGAGAGACATAAGAATCCATTTCTCTGAATTCTTTTTTAGGGTTTGATCTTTCCATTAGGGAGGCTCCAGTGGCTCAATAGGTAGGGAGTTCTGCTAACCCAATGGAAATTTGGGTTTGTTTTTTTGTTGTTTCAGTTTTCCTTTGGGGAGAACGAAGGGCAATTTCTTCATAATCTATTTAGTCTCAGAAACTCAGTGGACGGTCAGTTATGAGTCCATGCAGACTCAGTAGTGTTGTCTTGAAGCTTTCCATTCAGCATACTTTTCCTTAGGGAGTTTTTATGGGTAAGGAGTTGCACAGCCAATCCAAAAGCTGGAGATTGCAATCCACCAGCTGCTCTGCCCGAAAAAGAAGGGCAGTTTCCTCCTGTGCTATTTACAGACTGAAGCCCTCTGGATGGTTGGCTAGAAGTCAGTTCAGACTCAATGGCAAAGGTCTTATTCTAGGTGTAGTCAGTATGTAGTGGTCTGTAACCTGTCATATATGCCCACTTAATATGTAGTGTTTTAGGCTGGCAATACAGGTATATTATTTTCAGACATACCCTTCTATATGTATTTATAATCTTCGTGTCTGGCACGAATGTCAAAGCAGTGAACTCAGCTTTTCCACGGTCCCCAGCAAGCTAGTAGGAGTGAGTGAGCAGAGAATATATTGGTAGGACCTACTTTGCACTGCCTTCTCTTTTTTTCGCATTTCTGGATGATATAAATAGCAGTACATTTATAACTGTGGAACAGCACTCAGTTCTTCCTTGTGATCTTGCTTAACTTGCTCTTGGAATGGAAACGTGTGCTGATAATTAGCATTCAGCACCTCTTCCTTCCTTTGCCGCCTGGTTCTTCTTAATTATGCTTTAAATTTCTCACCAATTTAGGTTTCGTGGGCAAAACTGTTTGATGCTTTACCCTCCCCCCGCGTGGGCAGCAGGAGGCTTTGAAAAGTACGATTTGAGAGCATATGGCAGTTTTGAATTGAAAATGATCGGTATTTACGGATATTCGTATCTGTCGGTGTGTGCTCGCGTCGCGTTGCCGGAGTCCCTAGTGGACTCAGAGGGGGTTGACCCTCCATAGTGCATTCCTACCTTTATTTCGGTCCTTGAGATGCTTTCACCGCGGATCGCAGCAGCGTCCCCCACTGCCGCCGCCGCCGCCGCCGCCGCCACCGGGGAAGTGAGGTCCTCCTTCCAGCAGAGGGTTCCTTCCCCGGCGGCGGCCGGCGGAGAAATATGCGCGGCGCCGGGGCCAGCTGTTTGCGATCGGCGCCGCGGCTCCCGCCCCTGGCCGGGCGCCCGCGCCCCGCCCCCCACCAACAACCGCCGCTCTGATTGGTCCGGTGCTTGTCTCTTCTCTCCGCGCAGCCAATCGCGCCGGGCGAGGAGCTCCTGGTCTGGTACAATGGGGAAGACAACCCCGAGATAGCAGCTGCGATTGAGGAAGAGAGAGCCAGCGCCCGGAGCAAGCGGAACTCCCCGAAAAGCAAGAAAGGTAGGACCTGCCGCCGGCCGGGCGCCACCTGAATCGGGCAGCCGCCGGCCTGGGCCGCCGGGGGCGGGGAGGGGGG